GGAGCTTGTGCAGCCAAGTCAGTTGACTTTATAAATCAGAATTTAAATGCACTTACTTTATCAGGTACACCTTACTGTACCTGAAATCAACCCTTTTTAGTACAATTTTGTTTTCACCCCAAAAATGATTTGCTCAGCTTTGCTGCTTATCTATTTTTGGACCATTCTCTGTAAATTATATCAATATTTTGCGCTGTAAGAAATACAAGTAAATAATTAGTTTTTAAAACCATTAATAATCACAGCACTCTAAATCATTTTCCGCCCTATTCTGACACTTTTTCTGCTCTTTTTGACATTATATACCTGCCTCAGTGTATTAAGCTGCTGCTGTGTGATAGGCCGACTAAAACATTCATGACTAAGCAGATGCATAGTTTTGAGTGTTTACTGTACATTTGTGTAATATTCACTTGCCCAATTTTGCCAAAACACGATTTGAAGAGACTGTCGCCTATTTTCAGACTGAGCTCCACCATGTGCTATTTTTAGAATAGTGCTGCAGGAACCTAATAAGTTACTTGCAGACAACCAGGTGCCCACAAGCACCAAGTAGGTGACCTCTACTAAAGGAATATAACATGTAGGTGGTCACTGATAATGATTCATGGGCAGTTTGGTTTGTTGATACTTAATTTGCTCGTTTAATTTTGTCTTATTTGTCTGATTTTGGATGATCTGTAATTTCCACAATAAATATCCCTCACGTTAATTGTAAAATAATAAAATAGTAGTTTATTATTGGTTCATTATTTTATTGTCAGTCTTCTAGTCGTTATCAATTAAGTGCTTAGTGTAAACCCAGCAGTGAAACATTGTCCTCATTTTTTTTATTATATTTAGTTTTTGGTTGACCTTTATATAGCTTAGTGTTTTATTTCTCTCTCAAACAGTCTTAAGATTTAATGGGTTCACCTTCACTATCTTAGTTCCTCTTTCCTTCCCCATTCATTTCATTTTGTTTGTTTTTTGTTTTAGCATACAAATGGAGACTTGTGTAAATATTCATTTAGCCAGCAGGAACCCCACCATGGGTTGAGTCAATATCAGCCAGTGGATCCTATTACAGTAATGACATCACTATAGTAACCTTATGACCATTCGGTGCAATAGCCCATGTCAAATTCCCATTATGATTTTGTTCCCCCTCAGGAGACATGTGATTTACATTTCAACATCTTTTTTCTGTTTATGGTGCATGACTTACACCATTATGATACGAACCACTTTGACTTATTATATCCTTGGTATAAATGCTGTTAAAAATGCTGTGCATATCTGTTAAAAACATAAGACCAAGAGTTATGGAGGATAACTTTTAAGAAAAAGCAGTCAGGGAAATGATACTGATGAACTTTTTTCATTGTGACCTTTTTTGAACTCATTCAACTAAGTATCCAAAAGTTATCACTAAAATTACTGTGTAACAAACATTCACATTGAATGTATTCATTTAAATATTACTGACAAGTACTTTTTACTTGTCCCCAGTAGCTGGCATTTAGTAGACCTTACTAATTTTACTAAAAGTCCATCATCACTCTCTTCTATATGCTGGTTTATGTGGTGCCTTCTGGCAAAGTTGTATGTAGATAAAGTGAAAGCTTAGAGAGACACATTTAATCAGACACCCCATTGAGAAGATTTTAATCTGTTGATCCATGAGGCTCAGAAGAACCGGAAGCTGCTTCTGGGATCTAAAGGAACTCTGGGATGTGATTCTTGTCTCTAGCAAGCAGACAAAATTGCAGCCACATGTCAGGCCTCTGAAAGTAGCACTGTAGCTTCAAGTAATTTAAAATGCATATAATCAATGAATGAAAAAGATATTTGCTTATTAATTTAAACCTCTTTTATGGTGTCAGGAAATGATCCATTTTGGGGAGATACTTCGATGCTTTACATATTTTACAGGGATCTATTTCTAAGCCCCTAACACCCACATCGCTGGACAGTTGGTCAAGTAGCACAGATTTGCCCCCGGCATAGAAAGGCAGCAAAGAAACTGAGAGCTAGCCAGCACTTCCACCCTGGACTTCCACCCAGCAATCTAGGTCATTAGGTCTACTGTGTAATTTAAGGAGAGCCACATCTGCTCACATGTAGGCAGAACTGAACGCTGCAGATCAAGTATTAGGGAATTAATCCTTCTGTGACAGCTGATTGCACATGTTTTCAGCTCTGGGTTCTGCACAGCTCATCTTCTCTGGTTGCTTGTGACCAAAACTTTAACGCATAGAAGTACAGGAGTGATTTGGTCCTGTGTATAGCGTTTAAGAGCCTATTATAATTACAGCTATTTCATTTTGTATTGATTGGTTAGAAGTAACATTCCAGTGCACATGTATTAGCATGTTGTTGTACAAAAAGCTTAATGAGCGTGCGTCGTTATTCTTGACCCAATCTCTTGCATGCCATCAGGCTGAAGGTCAATGGACCACATAAGCACAGACTGAATAGACCCAGGCTTATTGACCAACAGACAGATGACCTAAATAATTGGGAGGAAAGGATTAATGTTTATTATCCTCTCTGGTTATCCCTCTCTCTATCTCTTTATCTCTCCCATCTCTCCAGAGGGAGGTTCTGATATGGGGGTGTTGAGATGGGAAGGTCGGTTCTTTCCTGGCTGCTTTCAGAGACCAGTTGTAATATGAATATTGACATGTAGACCACCAGTGCCTGGCTGGAAGGCCATATCGACAAAACTCCACATGACTGGTCTTGCACTCAATAATGACAATATTCAATTCATTTAGCCCCAGTGCACTCCCACCTATTGGCTTGACAACTGTTGTGAGGAGAACAAGTTGACAACCCTTGGCCCAAAGGTGAATGGGTCATGACCCTAGGTAAATAATTTCCTTAAGAAGCAGCACATTCAGATTTCTTAGCAACATTATTCCTATGTTATTGAAAGTTTTATATCTGAGAGCATTCTTTTAATGACTTATACTTATTAAAAATTAAAAATAAAGATAAGTTAGGTGATTTTAAATGAGTCAAGTCAGAAATAATAAAATAATAAAAAATATCATGTGCAGGGAGTAAAAGTGAATTGTATCAGATGAGGGAAGGTGGAATAGTAGCCTGAGGGAGGGTCAGTGACTGACTGCCCCTTCTGGGCCACCATTTGGGTTAGTGCAGCCAGGCAGATAATTAAAGTTGATGGCAATCTTTGACACAGTGTAATCACATCACACCTCAGTGCCACAGCAGCTACTCTAACCGACCACTCAGCCTGACACTCCGAGGCTCTGTGGGCAGATAACTTGCATTCTAATTTGACTTTATTTCAACGATCTCAGATATAAATTCAAATCACTTGCAATTGTCTTTGCCTAAATGATCCACTTCTTTACTCCTTGAGGTTTTTCATTTTTTAAGGATCTTTAATATTGATCTGTCTCTGAGTTTTAACTAGTTTATGTTTGGCTGAAGAAAAGTCACACTGTGTGCTTCTACACTTTTTAATTAAGCCAGATGGATGCTTCAGAGTCTGTAATGATGGACATTTTCTGAAAGAGCATTCTGTGTTGACAGAAGATGATGTCTGCAATGCATTTACTTGTAAAAAACCCTCCTTGTATGTCCAATTATTTCCACCCAGTCTATTAGATTTATTATCCAAGTTAGACTCCGCACTCTTTCAGCTGTGGAGACAGATTTCCATAATTTCCAGAGGCAGTGGAGTTATTTACAGTCCAGAGTGCATTTGGAGGCAGATGCAGCTGACACTGAGACGGCTGCACTTCAGAGACCGTTATGTAGATAGCAGAAAGTATGTCGAAGTGACAGTGCATTCTATCCAATGTCAAATCTACAAAAGGATATACAGGAGTAAAATATTTTTTCCTGACATTTATCTACCATCATTTATCAAGGCTGAGTCAAAAATATATTTTATCCTTTGCAGAGGAAAACTGAGAATTCACTGCAGGTAAAATTGAATTACAAATCCTATTTACTGCCCCCATCCAAATTGTACTGCAGGTATAAAAGTCATAAAATAGATTCAGCCCTTACTACTTATGAAATGACAAGAAGCTGAAAGAAATGTAATATTGATGATCAACCGCAGCAGGAAGGGAAGCTGAATCTGGTTCAGAACAGTGTCCATGCTGTGTATCAAATATATAATGTGTATATATTTTAGTGTATAAATCAGTCAAGAAATCAAATATTTAAGTTTAGACCCCGTGAACCAGTTTACACAGCATGATTATAAATCATAATCATAAATCATTCACTCCTCTCCCATTTTAAAGCCAGACGTATGGGGATACATTAGTTTGAAATCTAAATATTAATGCATGGTACTGAGTATTTTTTATTTATTTTTGCCTGTCATTAAACTTATTTTTAACTCTAAAGCAGCACAAAAAAATCGAATGCAGCAAACGTGCCCTATTTTTTCATCTACCTCCTGAAATTTTAACTGCTTTCTTTTATGTTTTTGTTTTTATTTATTTTTGAGGGTTAATTAACATAGGGAAATAGGTTGGCTGAAAATGTGGCCAATTATATTGGCCCATTACAGTAGGATGCAGTGTGAACTGCTAAATTACAAACTGCATATTTTAATTGGTTTATTCGATTAACCTATGTAACTCTTGTTTGTTTGCTCAGCACATAAAGCACATGCAGTGGCCAACCCTTATCATCCACTGCTAAATTTAAAAACATTTTGATCATTTAGTTTCCCCTTAGTGCTTGGAGCACAGAAGGAAACATTTTCAAGATTTAGAGGTTTTAAATATGAACTTTTTAAGCTTAAGGGGTCGTCATTTATTTAAAAAGAGAATGTGGAAATGACTCGTATTGCACAGGAATAATACCACACTGAGTTTTACTTCAACATAACCTATCAAAGCAGAACCAACATTGTCCTGAAGAACATGATTCCGCCGAGTGTGTGATTCCAGGCGTCAGTGTGAGTCAGTGACCGGGTCGTCTGATTACTGACCATCTGTGTGTGTGTTGTATGTGTGTATGTGCAGCTTCCTGCCGACTTCAGCAGACTTCACCTGGCCGACGGCTTGCATCCACAGGTGACCCACGTCTCCTCCAGCCACTCAGGATGTAGTATCACCAGCGACTCTGGAAGCAGCAGCCTGTCAGACATTTACCAGGTAAGGCCTCCCCACCTGGGGGCTGGACCCTCCTCAGCCTGGACTCTCCTGGATAACAGAGTTACTTCAGTAGTTCAAGTACTAACTGGTTAACAAAAATAGTGTTGAATTTAACACAGTTGTGTTGATTTTTTTGTTGTTTTCTTCTTCCCTGTTTAACCATCATAACACCTTTGGTCCGTGTTTGTGATTCAGTTTAATATTCTGGCCAAAATGCGTGTGTTCCAGATGTCATGTTTGAAAACGATATTGCAACTTTCTTCATGGGAAATTGAATGAAGAAGAACTTGCAGTTTTTTTTCTTTTGAATTCCAATTTATGTCAGTAGCATGACTGTTAGCATGTTAGTGCACCAACAGCGTTAGCACAGTCACCGGGGAAGCTAAAAAGCTTGTAGCCATCGTTCTAATGTCTTACAAGAGAAAAACATGTTTTAATATTTAGGTGAATGGTTTTCTGGCTTTCTTTTTGTTTCATATCTGTCTGATGTCAACAGAGTTGTTTATTGATTATTGTTTGATTTAAGACAACAGGATGGTTTCTAGGTTCCCAAGGATCATATAATTTGTGGTTCGTCTTCTCAACACCATAAAAGTGCTTCCACTTTAATAGAATATTGCTGTCTATTTCTAGAGCAATACAGTTGAAACTATTCTTTAAACCAATATGCAGCAACTAACTGTCAGTGAATGTGTCTCATTAAGTAGGCTGAGAAACGTAAAAAAAGAGTGGTAAATCAGGGCAGCCTCAAAGGCTTCAGAGCACCAACAGAGACACTGTTTCTGCTCAGTGGGTGACACACACACACACACACACGTATAATGGCGGCTGTGGGCAGGTGGTTCAGCCACCATCCTGACTCCAGCTGTGCCTCTCATCACCTCAGAGCAGAGTACAGTATGCCTCAGAGACTACAGTCTACTTAATGTTTTTTTTTTACCATAAAATTCAAAGGGAGAATATTCCACAGTGCTGCACAGCACCAACGCAAATGAACACCAACACATTTTCACAGTTGTGTGAAGCGTCTTAAGTCGTGCGACTAATTGTATACAAAACACCGACACGTCACCTGCTGTGACCATGCACGGTCGTCGGTGTTAGTGTGGGCATCAGTGAGAATCACTTTTCTCGGCTTGTGTTTCAGGTTTTAAGGAATGGGAATTGTCTAAACACAGCTCTGTTTGTGTGGATAGTTGGGCGAGCACCGCTGTAGAGTTTCCCGTGTGTCTGTGTCTGTGTGTGCTCTTGTGTGTGTACAAATGTGTGCTCTGTTGACTATGACTTCACCATCTGCAGCAGGTTGAACAGGCTTCTCCTGTCCCCAGTCTGTGATCCTGGTCTTGGAGCCATCTGGTAACAGATCTCTGGCAGAACCCGGAAAACTCTGAATCTTGGAATCTGTTTTACTCTCTTTCACCTATACTCAAACACTGGTTTCTCTTCCTTTTGATTTACGCTATGTGCTTTGGTCGATATATCCTTCAATCATTTTCGTGTTTTTGTCCATGTCGTTGGTTCATTTTGTCTTTAAAATTTTTTTTTCAAGCCTTTGATATATTGTAACAGTTTGCTCAGAGAAAATGTCTGATTCTGACTTTTGAAAAGTTTTCCTCAGTGAATCAACCTACTTTTGGCCACCTTCTTCTGTATGGAGCCCATGTCTGTCTGGGCTCCGGGACGGCTCAAATGGCCTGGGAATGATGAGCATCCTGGGGTTAGACATTTTGCCTAATGAAGGGTCCTCTATGTGGAAGAAGAAATCCCTAAACTGTTTAATTCTTGGATATCTACATGCCATTTCTTCCAGTCTGTCTCCACAGAGACTGATCCTTCAGAGCAGTTATTCTGAGTCTTTTTGGCCTGTGACTTACAGGCACTTCTTTGAGAAAGTGGGTCATTATTGAAATACATTTAGGTACGTTTTGTGGTTCCTCAAGTCGGATGTTGATTTTAATTTTTAACTGTATAGATTTATATTTATTTAGATATATTTATATATTGATTTATAGTTTCTATATGAATGTCAACAAGTTCAACCTTTTTACATCAGTCCAACACAAGAAGTACATGTCGTATCACGTTAATGGTATAAACCTGAATTATTTGCCCAAACTGTTTGTTTTATGCACCATTACTTTTTAATCATTAGCCAGAGTTGCTCCCTGCAGTTGTTGGAATTTGTAATTAAGGGAAATAGATTATCGGGGTTGTTTGTGGTCCCTGCTCCGGATGTTTTTTGAATAAACACTTCATGGGAGGCCCAGATTCTTTACACTTCATACCACAGGAAGCTGTTTGTAAGGGGAAAAATGAGGGTGTTCAATTTTTAATGGACTGTTTCTGGAGTGGATTCTTCAGCCTGTAGCAGGTGTTGCTGTATGGAGTGTCTGCACAGAAATATGATGGAAAGCTCTGAAAAGTAAACTGCTGGGTTTATTTGCTGCTCCATTCTCGATCCATCTTTTACAAGTGATGCGCCGCATCATTGTCACATCAAGGCCGACATGCCGTGCTGTTTCGTATTTAAATAAATCATGAAATTGGCCTTCAGTAGGACTTTGAAAGCATTGATCCCAGAATAGCCCTGATAAAATATTCACAGCACCTGTCTTGCCTACAGACTCCTAATGTTTACTTCATATTTATGGATTTTTGATATGTATATAACAAGAGATAAAGGCCTTGCTCCGACACAAGCGCACTTTGTGTTGAGGAGGGAACGCTTGTTTAAATACATCATGCTGGTAAGTCCATCTTTAAACCATGGTAAAATCTGAAGAAATCTCCCTAACTTAGTTTAGCCACATGCTACTTTTCTGTAGCTTTTATGTGTGTTATTTGTGAACAGATAAAGAAGATAAATCTGTCGAGGATGCATGCAGCTAACATGCACCTTTTAGTGTTGTTAAGAGCCGTATTTTTGTGTTAAATAATTGTATCTTTGGGATTAAAGTAACTTGTTGCAGCTCATCGTTATCAGTTCAGTGTTTCAGCTGATCTCTCTTAGTGTCGCCACAGTGGATCATTTGCCTCCATCCAACCCTATGTCTTGCCTCTCGTGCCTCCGATGCTCATGTCCATTCTCTACTACATACCTGGATCAACTTATTCTTGCCACTTAGTTTAAGCTGCATCTGCTTATCCTTATTTTTATCTTCAAATATGCCAGATTTAATCTTGTCCTTCCTGGTCAGTCCCAAAGAAAATAATTAATCTCTGTCTCCTCCAGCTCAGGTTCCTGTACTTCAGGCAGTGCCACAGTCTCTAGTGATGGTGCGATACAACCTTTTTATGTCCAATTCCGATACTGCAACTTGTGTCTGTTCGATCCTTTCTTTTTACCTGCAGCATGCAGCAGAGTGCTGTTGCTGAGACTCAGTTTACAGCATGGTACACAAACCTAAGATAAGCATTAGAGCTTAGCTATGAGATCTGAAATTTTGACCAAGAGCCTGAGCTAACTGTCTTGTAACCATACTCCAGAGCCGGTCTCATGTTCTTAAACCTTTACTTTCACTTTTGCTTTTTCAAACCAAATCAACCGTACTGTGTAAACTGTTTGCTAATTCACCAGTGACGTGACCAGCCTCGTACAGGCACAACATCGCCACACAGATTTCCACCCCCACCCATCAGTGTGTTTGTAGCAGTGACGCCCCAATGGCCACTCAGACACTGACCTGAATCATTAATGAGGCTTCTGCACATGACATTTGAGGAGAAATGATAAAGGCTTTTCATTCCCAGACCAGGGACAGGAACTCAGAGCTGTGAAAAATAAGGAGCAGCTGGGATGTAAAGATGCGTCTCATTCTGGGATTTTGTGGACAGTTTGTTAGGACAGGCTTTTTTGCTCTTCCCTCAACCAAGCTTGAGGTCAAGCCTCCTTCCAAGAAGGTGAGCGGGTTCAGTTATGTGCTGTGGTTAGTTATTGACACAGGTGTATTTTAATCTCTACTTTCTTTCACTGCTTTGGTTTCAACCTGAGTTAATCTCAGTCACTGAGTCTCTTCTGTTATTTAAAGAGATATTTTCTTTGATGAAAGCACAGGCTCTCTGTCAGTGTGGCTCAAGGAGAAGAAGATGCCTTTAATTTGCTCCTTGCTCTTAATTCATGTTCCTGGTTTTGCACGTTTTCGTCTTGTGTTTTCAAAGAACAGGATCTGGCTGCGAGGGAGGCAGTGGAGTGTAATGATGGTAACAGGAAAGAGAGAAAGTTGATAGTTAATTAGCTGTTTATAATGAGCAGACTGTTTATAATGAAGTGTTGATGATGAGACTTTTTTTTCGTACAGTGCCAATATCCTTCTGATCTTTTGGGTGAAATAGGTCAAATCTGCAGAGCAGTCTAACAGGGTTTCTTTGTTGAAATGTCTGAATTTGAAGAAGTAGGTTGTCACAGCTAAGGGTTTGATCACTTAGATTAGCTTTTTACTCATCTGGACCAATTTGCAACTCACTGCTGGACAGTACATTTTCTGTGTTTGAATGCAGTTTTGACAGATAGCCTTAGAGCTATGGGATGAACAGCTATTATTAAGCCAACTGCTATCAATGGCTCAATGAGTTCATCAAACCTCTCACCCCATTTTTTTTATCTTCAATAATAAACATTTTCTTGTTCTGTCTTCCTTATAGGCCACAGAGAACGAACCAGGTGACATGGACCTGAGTGGCCTACCAGAGACTGCTGTGGACTCGGAGGAGGACGATGATGAGGAGGACATCGAACGAGCGTCGGATCCCCTCATGAGTCGGGACATTGTCAGAGACTGCCTGGAGAAGGACCCGATGGACAGAACTGATGATGACATCGGTGAGTGAGATCTTCATCTCTGGTTTTGAATCCACATTTAAAAAATGTCAACCAAGAGAGGAAATAACATGAATAGCACTCGTCCCAACTCAGGATGAATTTTTTTTATCAGAGCCACGCCCTCTGTTTTAGTTTCTAACTCTGTCCCAGTAAATTTACATTCGTCTGATGTCTGACCTGCTCTAGTTTGTCACATGTCCTTTCAAGATATTCCGAATACTGCATGAGACTTTAACTTGCATGTCTCTCAAAGCTTCATTGATATGCTATTGATAAAGACGGCCATGATAATGGAAAAGGAAGGATTCATCTGAACAAAGAAAGAGTTAAAAAAAGAGCCAATCCTTCTCTCCCCTCTTTTTGCTGATCGTCCTTTGCTGTACACCTCACCCTCCTTGCCGCCCTCCCCCCATCACCAGCAGGCTTTTCTAGGTCACTCTGGTACATCCTCTCGCCTCACCTCTCCCAGCACATTAAACTTTCAGTGCTTCCAGAGCTTCACACATACTGTTGTGCCATTCCAAGCACCGGTCAGCCTCCACGACGGACCACCGACGATGCCCCGTGAATGTATAGTCCACAGAAAGAAAGAAGCAAAAAAATCTGAAAACCAAAATGTTTAATATATAAACCTAAATGTTTTACAAACCAATTACAAACCTCACGTTTTATCGTTCTGCGTTGTATGTTTTCCCTGGATTGCTGTGTACAACATCTGCTCATTGAATGTCCTGTGAATTGTTAAGAATAACTAAAAACTTTCTAAAGAAGCAACTTGCTTACAAGTCAGTTTGTCAGCACAAAGAACGTTTTTTTGCAGCCATTTGCATTTTTAAATGCCTCAGGAGACCTGTAAAAAAATGTTCGCTCTTGATCATAGCTGACAGATCAATCAGGATGATTTCAGTTGAGGTTTAGTTTCTCCAGTGAACCCGCACAGAGGTCACTGAGTGATGTGTCAGCGATTATTCTCGCCTGGCCCAGAGAGTTTATATCAATGGGATTGATATCCAGCCTTATGTTCCCCAAGTAACGATTCCTCTGTCAGTTATTCATTGTAGTGATCATCTATTCTGATGCTCAGCCTCCAGCGAGAGCAGCGCAGACGTGCCAGGAACACTGCATGTCCTATTTCTCTCCTGCGGGTGTCAGGACGCTGTTTTCTTCTTTTTTTATGTCTTTGTTTCAACCTCCTTCTCTCCCTCTGCTGTCTCTCCTCTGTCTCTCTCACAGAGCAATTACTGGAGTTCATGCATCAACTGCCAGCGTTTGCAAACATGACCATGTCAGTAAGGAGGGAACTCTGCGCCGTCATGGTTTTTGCTGTGGTTGAACGCGCCGGTACCATTGTGCTGAATGACGGTGAAGAGGTGCGTAACCTTCTATATTTATCCACCCGTAAACGTAGATCTTGTTGCGTCACACCAGACATTGTGTCTATAAACCAAACCCTTGGTTTCACCTCTTCACGTCAATGACTCTTTCTTCCTCCATTAGATGTTTTTTCTGCTCTATTAAACCTGAATGCCAGACATCGTGGTATCAGCAGACCTCTCTGGGAATCCCTTAGGCAACTAACTCAGAAGGACAGACTCCGATTATTTCCTTTTTTCTTTGGTCACAGCATTTCAATAGAGACAATTCAATTGTTTTCTGCTCACAATAAAGAGAAAAGCCTCGCCTTTAAGGCCTGGTCACTGCAGTAAATATTTCATCACAGACAGTTTTAGGTTCAATGACTATATTGTCACCATCTGTTCCAAAGCTGCAGCAAAGGGTCATCTTTTCAAAAGATTTCTAAACAACTATAATACAGTGTTCATCAACTTGTGGCCCACAGGCCGATTCTGGGCCACCAGTCCATCCAATCAGGCCCATGACCGGGTTCCAAAACTGAGATGATCAAAGAGAAAATATCATGTGGTCTCTTCTATTAAAGCCTTAAAATACCTTCAGTTTTGTAAATATAATCAAATCAAAGTGTTCTTTTTTGTTTTCTAAAGTCCAACCTTGTTTGTATGGCTAGTTGGATTCTTGGTCAGTGATTCTGAATGGTTCCGTGGAAGTGACGTATCCTGACAACCGGACAGAGATCCTCTGTATGGGGAACAGCTTTGGGGTGTCGCCAACCATGGAAAAAGAATACATGAAGGGTGTGATGAAAACCAAGGTGGACGACTGCCAGGTGGGATTACAGTATTTCTTTACTAACAAGTTGGGCATCAGAGCAAAAATATATTTTCTCTGTGTCTCAGTGTAGTAAAACATGCCATTTTGTCAAAAAGTCCTCAGTGTAACCAAGTTAAGCTGTAGATGTTGGCCCTCAAACTACTCTGATGAAAGCTTCTCTATAAATGTGAGACAAAGTCATTTAGTAAGAGACTGACCAGTTTATAGAGCAAGACAGTTTTTGTTCATGATGGGATTATTGGTAATGAAGTGTAAAGACAGTGAAATGTTTTTAAGGAAATGAGCTCATCAGGCTCCGTGGCTGGAATAAAACCATCTCTCTCTCTAATCCGTGAAAGCCCTTGTTTCATAATTTATCACCGGGCACAGTAGTTCACTTGTCAGGGTGCATTTACTTCTTCTCAGCTGCACTGAGTTATTATTTAAATGCATTCAGTCTCTCCTTAAAATGTTGCATTTCTGATGGAGATATCTTATTGTGATATTAAGAAATTAATGCAACATTTTAAGTCAAATGAAAGTCTTTAATTCAACTTTGACTTCTGCTCTTGTCCAGTTTGTGTGCATAGCCCAGCAGGACTACTGCTGCATCCTCAACCAGGTGGAGAAGAACATGCAGAAGGTGGAGGAGGAAGGTGAGATTGTGATGGTGAAGGAGCACCGTGAACTGGACCGAACCGGTACCAGGAAAGGACACATCGTAATCAAGGTGACCAAACTACAGTCTGGGATTTTTTTTAAACTGCCACAACTGTTAGTCAAACATTTTTTATTCTGAAGAAGCGACTAAATACACTGCAATTAATCTCAGGGCACACCGGAGCGTCTCACCATGCACCTTGTTGAAGAGCACTCAGTGGTGGACCCCACGTACATCGAGGACTTCCTGCTCACGTACAGGACCTTCCTCTCCAGCCCCATGGTCGTGGGCAAGAAGCTCCTAGAGTGGTTTCATGACCCCAGTCTCAGGGACAAGGTACAGACGGCAGGGCTTTGTTTGTCTGCAGAAACTCACGAAGTTATTAAATATTCATCACGGCCACATTACACTGTGTGTTCACCCACTCTGAATATTCATTTCTGCAGGTTACACGGGTAGTCTTGCTGTGGGTAAACAATCACTTCAATGACTTTGAGGGTGACCCTGCGATGACCCGCTTTTTGGAGGAGTTTGAAAACAATCTGGAGAAGGAAGTAAGAGTTTCCGCAAAGGCAGTAAATTAAGAAAAATCCTGAACCAGCATATTTTTATTTGCCTAATTTATATGAATATCTGTTTATTTCTGCAGAAAATGTGCGGGCACCTCAGACTGTTAAATATAGCATGTGCTGCTAAAGCCAAGCCACGACTGGTGACACTGACCAAGCCGTCCAGAGACTCTCTACTGGCCTTCAGCCTGCTGGGAGGTCAGGAGAAAGGCTTCCGTATCTTCATTGATGCCGTGGAGCCAGGGAGCAAGGCAGCAGAGGTCGGCCTCAAGCGTGGGGATCAGGTATGATATGACTTAACTGTTGCTATCATTCCACATCCTAATGCATCACTGTTGTCATCCATCACCATAGAGAGCATTGATTTTTTTTTTTCATAAGAAAATGTGATTTATTTTCTACAACATACATATGCTCCTGATCCTGCTGTAAAAGTGTCTGCAATGTGTTTAAATCCTAAGTTTCTTTTCTTGGAGTATGGGGAATATAAGCTAGAAATACAGTCACACATCAGATCACAAGTTCCTTTGGGCAGCAGTTGAGAAGTGATATCTCACAAACTTAAACTCTAATTGGCCATTGTTTTGTTTGACAGTTCATTTTTATGTTTGAAACTGAACTTAATCTGGTTCGGTTTCACACTCTGCCTTCTCCTTGGCTTTAAACAAAGTGCCCTAATTCCTGAAATCATTTCGAGAGTGTCTGGAAGCCAGTTAAGCTTCATTAACTCCAAACATCCCTTGCAGCTGTTTCCCCAAAAGAAAGCGAAGAAACTGACATCCTTGGGTGTGTTCACTATCTCTTCGATTCTCACTCAGTTGCATGTTTTAACAGCTTAATTTAGTCTCGTAATTACGTCAGAGACACAACAGCCTTAATTTTAGGACATAGAATTCTATCGAAGTCAATGTCATCATTTTAACCATTCAAATCTTATCTTGTGACAGGCCTCGTTAGTTAGTTTTAAGCAGCAGAGAAAAAACAAAGACCTGCCCTGTGTCTACATCCACAGAAAAAGGTCACTTCCTCTTCCTCTTAAGAAGAAGTGGCAGTGCCTGTTTGGGAGATTTAGTTAAAATGCAAATATCCGGCCTCTGAGCAGAGGTCACGCCTCAGAGACAAGGGAGAAACATTAGGAAGGTGACATGTCTCACATTAATGTCAAACCCATGTGTTGGTTGAATGGCACGGTGTAAAAAGACCTCAAGCATTTAACAGTTTATTACCTGCCTTTGTTTACTGGAAAGAAAACAGCTCAGGGGTCATTTCCTTTTAACTGTCCATTATATTTTAATATCAACGTAATTTTATTTTTTGTTTGCTAAATGAAATCCTTTTTTTTCTTTTCCATCTTCAGATCTTAGAGGTCAATGGCCAGAACTTTGAGAACGTCCAGCTCAGCAAAGCCAATGAAATTCTGAAGAACAACACTCACTTGTCCATAACTGTGAAAACTAACCTTTTAGGTAAGATTAGACAACTTGGGTTGAGGAAAAAGATTTATTTGTGTATTTTTATTTAGTTTTTAAATTTAAACTTTTACTTATTCCTCTCCGTCCTAGTGTTTAAAGAGCTTCTAACAAAGCCTGAACAAGACCCAGACTTGGACGGTGATGAGGAACATGACAGAAAGAACGGGGCTCCTCACCTCCCCAAGATCGGTGACATTAAGAAGGCCAGCCGCTACTCCATTCCTGATCTAGCTGTGGACGTAGAGCAGGTGATGAGTCTGGAGAAGGTCAGCAAGAAGGCCAAATCAAACTCGGTGGGAGGACGCAACAAGCTAAAGAAGATCTTTGACAAGACCATCACCAGCATCCTGCCTCCTAAACCTTACAAGTATGACCTTCTGTTTTCTAATACAAAAGACACCATTTTAAATGAATCATTTGACATTTAGTTTAGCCTTTATAGTCAACGCCTCTCCACTGACCCAACGATCAGCCTTTTAACACAGCAGTCAACCAGTATTAGCCGTCAGCTGTGAATGTGTCTACATCTCCCTCTTCTTGCCAAAACAAATATCGCCCTCTGCCTCTTGTTGACTGAACGATGCTCTCACCCCTCCTCTCCCTTCCTCTCCCTTCTGTTTCCATAGTGACGTTTGCGTCGGCCAATCACAGGACGACAGCATAGTGGGTATGAAACAGTCCAAACAAATCCCTCCGGCTCTGCCCGTCAGCGGCAACCTTTCGTCATCAAACCCAGATCTCCTGCAGTCTCACCACCGCATCCTGGACTTCAACAACCAGCCAGGTAGAGCAACGTCATGTAGATGATAAATGGGATCAACTGTCTGAGAGACATTTTAATATTCAAAGTATTATTAATACTTTAATATTTAGACTTAAAACTTGTAGTTTAAGCCATGAATTTTTATTTACTTATATTCATACACAGATACTGCAGGAAAATACTTTATATCAAATCAGCCATGCAGTATCTACATAAAACCATCTTTATATTTTTTCCCTATTAACTCCATCACTTGTCCATGTTCTTCCAGTGCCAGTCCCCATCAGTGAGTATTTTCCTCCATGTTTGTCTAATACTTTTCTAAACAGTGAGCTTTTGTCAAAACTTCTGGCCTTTATGTCGGAGTTTGTTTGCTCTGTCCAGTTTGCAGACGTAACAGAATCTCAAATAATCAGCTTATCTGCCTGAGAATGCAAATGTTTTCCTTCTAACAGATGTTACACCTTTGGCATTGCTGTGGCCAGATTGGGCATCATTTGTGTCATGTTGATTTAGATTTTCTTTTTCCCTGAGGTTGTTTCTGATCGACACCAATCATTGATCATGTGGAGCTTGTTCATAATTTCCCTGCTCTGTGTTTACTAAAATAGATCTCTGGAAATGGCAGATTGAATAATTATTGGTTCTTGTGTTAATTCTTGCTATTCCTCATGGTTATTTTTTTATTTTTTTGCGTCATCCACAGATATGTCAGACCAGGTGTTACGGGTCTTTAAGGCTGACCAGCAGTCCCGGTACATCATGATTGGGAAGGACACTACAGCTAAGGAGGTAGTGGTCCAGGCCATCAGGGAGTTTGCCCTGACTGCAGCGCCGGAAGCTTATTCTCTATGCGAGGTGTCCGTCACACCTGAGGGTGTCATCAAACAGAGGCGATTACCAGACCAGCTTTCTAAACTGGCTGACAGGATTCAGCTCAGTGGGAGGTATGGAGACCGGAAGTTTTGATGATTTTATAATCCTTGTAGTTAAAATTATATGTGTAACAAAGATTTTCTTTTATTCCGTATAGATATTATCTTAAAAGCAACATGGAAACAGAGACGTTATGTTCAGATGAGGATGCCCAGGACCTCCTCAGAGAAGGCCAGATCTCTCTGCTACAACTCAGCACCGTGGAGGTTGCCACACAGCTTTCCATGCGGGCTTTTGAACTCTTCTGTGCCATCGAGCCCACGGAATATATCGACGACCTTTTCAAGCTGCGCTCAAAGACAGGCTCTGCCAGTTTGAAGCGTTTTGAGGAGGCCATCAATCACGAGACCTTCTGGGTGGCCACAGAGGTGACGCGGGAGCCCAACCAGCTGAAGCGCATGAAGACGGTCAAGCACTTCATCAAGATTGCACTGCACTGCAGGGAGTGCAAGAACTTTAGCTCAATGTTCGCCATCATCAGGTAAGAGTAATGAATGACATATTTTGATTCATGATTTTAGTGTTTGATTTCCTTGTGCACATTACATCAACAGTCGGTAATGTTTTTTTTTCAACACAGTGGTTTGAACCTGGCTCCGGTGTCCAGGCTAAGGGGAACGTGGGAAAAGCTACCAAGTAAATACGAGAAGCTGTTTGGAGACCTGCAGGATCTTTTTGACCCTTCCAGGAATATGGCCAAATACAGGAATGTCCTCAACAATCAGAATCTCCAGCCACCCATCATTCCCTTGTTTCCTGTCATCAAGAAAGACCTCACCTTTTTACATGAAGGTAGTTTTTTCTTGAAACAATTTTAGTAGTCAAATGTTTGATATCCTATCTGTTGTGCCCTTTTGTAGATCTGTCTCTGTAACTCTTCTATTCTGCTCCATTTATAGGCAACGACTCTAAAGTTGACGGCCTGGTAAACTTCGAGAAGCTGAGGATGATTGCCAAAGAAATTCGCCACGTGGGTCGCATGGCCTCAGTCAACATGGACCCAGCTCTCATGTTCAGGACAAGGTGGGAAAACACTGTGGCTTAGCAAAATTCCAGAATCCCGATTATCCTCCCTGTAGGAGCCTCCAGAACAACACTGGCCACCCTAACTGTACGGGGTCAGCGGGGTCATATACTGTAGATCCAGTGAGGATTTCTGCAATCATGCTTTTCCCTTCCAGCAGCTGTTCCCTCTGGCAACTGTTTCTCCTCTGGCAACTCTGTCTTTATCCACATTGTTGGCATTAGACGTCCACAGTCCATGTGTTAAAGTGTGTCTTTGTCTTAGTGATGTCTCCTCCTAGCGGAGGGTCGCCATTCGATTTCCTCTCTGCTGACCTGTGTGGGTGAAATTGCTTCTCTTTGGTGGTCTGTGGTGGTCTCTCCTGTCCTAAGCTTTGTCTCCTTATCTCTCTTTGTCTCTCTTCTCATCCACCCTATTACCCCCAACGCTTCTCTGTTCATGGCACTCGCACTGTAGGAAGAAGAAGTGGAGAAGTTTAGGGTAAGTGTGGTGACCCTGCAACATTTTGCACACCCCTGCCTCTTATTCTGCCATTTAATGTGTGTTTTTTTTCTGTTTTCCCACTAACAAGTTTGAGTTTAATCCTGTCACTAACACTGTCTGAGCCTGAACCGAAGGACATGAAGTGAAAAGGTCATCTGTGCTAGAACCAGAAAATCAAAATCTTGTTTGTTGCCACAACTGAAAAAAGTCAGAACAAAAATACAAGAAATTAAATTCTCGTACATACAAATACAAAGATAACTTTATAATATCCACATACAGTATGTGTTTCTATTATACTTGGTGGCCTTAGATTTTAGTCTCTATTTTTTGCATTATAAAAAGTGAATCATCTTCACTGACATTGCAATTTGAACAATGTAAAAACCGCCTAAATGGAGACATATGGAAGAGCAAAGTAATGTCACGTAAAAATATATCTGTAACTTCCCATAGCAAAGGTGACCTTGTCATGTTGTTTTACTTCACAACAAGCATGCAGCTCTAGTTTCACTATTATTATTTCTGTACTTATCCTTGAGGTTTTTAATCTGTCCATCAATCCTGCAAACAGCCTGAGTTCCTGGATCGGTTTCTTTTTATGCAGCAATTTTACATTCTTGTGGTTGAACGGGAGAATATCGTACACGCTGAGCCTCTGATTGGAAACACATGAAGGAACATTACGGTCATCTAAAAGTCAAAGGGGAAACGTTTAACTTCTCTTTCCCACGACTGATGATGTGGTAGTTATGGGAAGCGTCTTTTAATTATGACATCCTGTAGCTTGTAATTATGACACCATTTCTTGAAAACCTCTGCTAGAGATAACTACAGCCGGTTTTTATGTCTCTCTAAAGGCTGCAGTGTCTATAAGTCAGATCACATGACATTCAGAATTTTTCTAACAAGCTTTGGAACACGAATGCTGATAAACATCTTCCCGTTGATGGCTGAAATCAGTTTTTGTGCACCGAAGGAATTTTCACTATTACTACTACTATTACTATTACAAGCAGCTCTGACTCAAGCCACAGAAATGTAAACTATGACTGTGTTACACAAACACAACTCCCACCTCTCTACTCTCCTGTTGTATGGCTCTAACCATCATTCACCCCGACCCCTGCTGCCTGGAATGCCTGGAGTGTAAGGAATGTAATAGTGTTTAGAAATATAGCTGAAGCTGCTCTCTGCATGTCTGTTTTTCCTTTGTTTTTGTTTTTTTGTAAGAAATACCAGGCCCCATGTGCAGCTCAGCAGCACACCTATGCATTGATACTTAGTGGTGTGTTGACATGTTTTATCTGTGCTCCCTTCTATGATTTCTCTTCTGTTTGTGGCAACAAATCCACATTCCTGCCTGTGTTTATGGTGCGTTTGTCCATGTGGGTGTAAATCCAGGTCTCTAAGCCAGGGTAGTGCCAATGCGGCAGTGCTTGACGTCACCCAGACGGGCGGGCACAAGAAGCGGGTGCGCCGCAGCTCCTTCCTGAACGCCAAAAAGCTTTACGAGGATGCCCAGATGGCCAGGAAGGTCAAGCAGTACTTGTCCAACCTCAGCCTGGAGATCAACGAGGAGAGTCTGCAGACGCTGTCGCTGCAGTGCGAACCCTCCATCAGTACGCGTGAGTTTGTGGTATAACTGTAAACTAGAGGAATTGAATATGTTGTTGTTGTTCCTTTGGAAATGCACATATGTTCCCAGGATGCACCACCCAGAGGCAGACAGGGTGGGTCCAGGGCAATAACAAGACGCTTAGTCTCGCTTTAAGTCTAATTGCCAAGGAATAAAAATGGGTTTAACCACCATCGAGTTTGATGCTCCCACTAGCAGCTGTATTTACTCTTACTGAGTTTTGAAACAGGTCCAACCGACCCAGCTGTCCATCAGCGTTTAGCTTTTTAAACTAGACTGAGTTTTATTATATATTTGCATTTTGTTAAACATAAATAATTTGTTTTAATCCACCAGTGCCCAAGAATGCTGGTGGGAAACGACCAGATACGTCTCCTGTAGTGTCCAGAGCTGCCAGTCAACAGAGGGGGCAGTTGGCCAAAGTAAACCAGGCTCTCCAGGTCCCTGCTGTGGCACTTTACCCATCCAGAAAGAAGGTTCCTGTCAAAGACCTCCCACCTTTTGGTAAGAATTTGTTTAAAAATCAGTAAAGTTGTTAGTCAATTTTATTACCAGGTTTTCCATGAATATTTGGATTTTGATGATGAGACCTAACACCCCATCTCCTCCTTCAACCTTTTAAAGGATAAAGCAGTAAAAAAAAAACCAACTGACTCAATGATTGGCCAAGTGAGCCTGTTAGAAATGTGCCCATCATTGTCTGCTATTTTCTTCCAATGCCACTTCTAAACAATGGGATTACCGCCCCCTACAGGCCGTCTGGCATAAAGCACAGACATGGAATCCCAGACAATGTAATGTATCTCTGACATTGTCTCTCATGGTTAATCTGTTCATTTTCTCCTAAACCTCCTCAGGCACCAGCTCCCCGCAGTCTCTGAAGAAAATTCTGTCGCTGTCGGAGGAAGGGAGCGACCGGCACCGGCGGCAACCAGAGGACACGATGTCCAACGCCTCCTCCCAGCTCTCCTCCCCACCCACCTCGCCTCAGAGCTCCCCCAAGAAGGGTGAGTAAGCCAATAATCCGTTTTCCCTGTCTCCCCTCCCTTCCTCCCGGCCCCTACTTTATTAAATCATGGGCCTCAAATGCCATCTGGTGGAAAATTTTATGAATTACATCTCTTTCAATAATGTCACGGACTGTTTCATTTTACACTTTCAAAACATTTTGGCTAAGACTGAGATGAAAAAAACAAACATTTTTTTATTCCGTGTAGAATAAAATGTCAACATGCACATATTTATTCCATTTGGCTGCTGTGCACACTGCACAGTGAGTGTAAAGGGCAATCATTAACCAGAACCAAGAATCACATGGATGATGCCAATTTTCCACCCAGCTTGGTGTTGTCTTTGACCAGTGACCTGTTTGCTTGGATCCCAGGTGTGGGGACATTTCCCTGGCTACATACACCAGCACATGCTGCTCCCTGTCAAATTACTGCAGCTCAGTGACCAAGACAAAAAAGGCTAATCAAACAGCATTTACATTTTTAATGTTGCTGTTTACAAAATGGTGGATCTCAGTTGTTGAGCTTTGTTAAAACATCACAGTTTTCTGTTTGAAGTTGTTGTGGGTCTGAGGCTAAAAATGTCTCACTGTCTCTGTCCTCGCTGGGACTAAAAAGGTCCTGTGAGTTCACCTGTCTCCTGTCTCCTGTTCAGTCTGAGCTTAATTGTTACGTCACCTGCTGGTGACTAATCCTGCTCAGCTGGCTCCTCCTGTGACTCCTAAAGTTAAAGCTTCTTTGGGAGCTACTGGATTATCTTATGTTGATGAAAAGGCAGATTATTGTCATGTACTCCAGTTTGGAGTTGGCTGTTTGGATGAACTTCAGCTGTGTTTTTCAGTTCAACTCTTGAAATAGATTTTAAACCCTCTCCCAAAACTGTTCTTTACACACTTAACTATATTCCGAATTTTTTTTCTATCCCTTATAGAACAATCTTTGTCACAAAGCTAGTATAATGACGAGCTAACTTTGTTGTCTTTTTATTCATATATACTGATTAACCATCCTTCCTCTTTTAGGTTACAATAGGATGGGAGACGCCTACTCAGACTCTGGTCACAGTGAGATCTCGTCTCGCTCCAGCCTGGTCAGTAACTCGTCATTTGACATGGCCCAGGAAGAGAGGAGACTGCGTCACTCTGGAGTCGGAGACTCCCACATGGGTGGACCTCGGTTGGAACGTCGGGCCACCACCGATCCCGATCAGTACAGTATAGGGTAAGAGGTGTAAAAATGAATTCCATATTTGTATCTGAATTCATCATGACTTGTAACTTAAGTGGATTTGTTTCTTCCAGGTCATACTCGTCAATGCAGGACTGTCGGGGTATTTATGCCGGCTGCCCCACGGTGCTCTCCTCACCCAGTTCAGAGGAGTTAACTCAGGATCAGGGCGATCGTGTTTCACTTGATGCTGCAGACAGCGGCCGCGGTTCCTGGACTTCCTGCTCCTCTGGTTCCCATGATAACATTCAGACAATGCAGCAGGGACGTAGCTGGGAGACGCTGGCCTTCGGAGGAGGCAGCGGCATCGGAGGACTCCCTCCTGGACCTGAGTCCTTCTTGGGTGGACCTGCTGCCCTGTGGGCCGCACAGGCCAGGGGCAGCTGGGCTTCTGTCAGCTCCTCCTCATCCTCAGCTGCGTACTGGGGAGAGGACTCCGAGGGAGACACGGGCACCATCAAGAGGAGGGGAGGAAAGGACGTGAACGCAGACCCAGAAACCAGTAGCATCACATCAACAGGGTCAGAAGAGGCGAAGCAGCTGGGCCGCCCGTCTCCATCGCCAATCACAGCCGGGGGTAAAAGGATCATTTGTGGTCCAGCTGCTTTAATTCAGCTGTGTCCAAATAACCAGCATCAGTCAATAAGTAAATTGACAGATTTTTATGTGTCCCATAGTTTTATTTTCAAACCTAACTTTTTTTAAATTTATTGCTTCATTTAAGATATTACTGAGCTAACTTTTAGCTGTCCTTTTGGCTTTTTTTATTTGCTCTGCCAGTATTTATGTTTAACCATCTATTTTTTATGGTCAGATTTTTTGTTTTATCTTAGATTTTTTGGTTATTTATTTAAAATCAATTTCTCTTTTACAGTATTTGGGATGACTCAGATTTTCTAACTTGTTTGAGCCCACTTAAACTAACCCTGAGTTATTTCTGTCTTAGCTAAAGTAGGTACATTTAAAAGATTTTAACCAACATGTAACCCTTTTTTAGCTACATTTGCATCTCCGTAAGTAAAGTTTTGGCTGGACCTGTAACGCTTTAAACATTTATTTTCTTTTGGTTAAAAGAAAATGTGCTGCTGACTGGACATATCAATCTTACCTTCTGGTTTGTGTTTCTGCAGCACGGAAAGAAGGCCGTTTCCGGGAGCCTCCACCAACTCCACCTGGCTACACCGCCCTGACCATCTCAGACCTCACTGAAGGTCAACACTCAGTCACGTCTGTAACCCCATCCACAACGACGCATTCAGGCCGTAGGCCTCCAGACTACACCACAGCGCTGCAACGCTCGCGCATGGTCACACAGTCGCCCGACTCCCACCAAGTCCACCAGGGGGCTAAACAGCGGTCAGGCGGCCTCCACCGCACACGCTCACCGAGTGAGGACCAAGAGCCGGATGAAGAAGAGGAGGGTGAGTCCTTGTCTTCCAAACTAGTCGCTTTGAGGAAGGCAGGATCAGTGGCATACTACACACCTGAGACTCTTCTGAGCCATGAGAATCAGTCAGGGTCCAAATTCTGATCTGAAAAGCAGGTAAAAACTAAATTATCAGGTCTACTTCTCCCTGTTTCCCACACAGTTCCCGTAGAACTAGAACATCACAAATTCTCCACTAGTTCTATTACTAGTCATGTTCAGAGTCCGAGCCTCACTTCAAACTCACCCTCTGCTGTCCTGCATGACTCACAGTGGTTGGAACAGACACTCACTTCTTTGGTGTCACTATACTGTTACACTTTATTCTCACACACTGTACTGAACAACATCCATTCATATTACTACAGTGCATTTCATATTCTCTCCACTGGGGACATTACATCACACTCACTGCCTGCAAACGTGTACCTCCACCCACCTACCAACGCACCCATTACAGTTGTAGTTACTACAAATGAAACACACACACAAAGTGTCAAATTGTGTTCAGTCTGTATTTTACTCCATCTTTTCCTAGGTTTTTGAAGGTCAGTCAGGATTTATCATCTTTTTTAATCTCTGAAATTTACGTTTGCAAATCGTTTTCATTTTGGTTGTAAGAATGAAAATAAAACTAAAGTTTTTTGCAGCTTCCTAACTCTTATTAAATCTTTGGTGATCTAAGATAGTGAACTTTTTTTTGTATCAGTAAACAAAATGAAACATTTAAGAATGTCCATGTCCTTGTTTTGCCAGATCAGCTACACAGTTCAAGATATTCTCACTGGAAAAAAAAGGAAATACAATTACAAATCAGTAAATTGTTCCCACTGTGGTACAAAAAAACAATGTAAAAACAAAATAAATAAATGTAGAAAATGTAACTAACTTGACCTACTGTCCATTGGGTCATGGCCCAGAATTAGTACATGGGCCAGGAGTTTGAAACCCCTAACCTAAATTCAAAGAATCCTTTGGAAAAAGGAAATATTTTCACATCATGTTTTCCTGAGGAGCGTTTACTTTCTGCTCATATCAGTGAAAGACAACAAATCGCTCCTGCTGGATTTGGGTAAACAACACATTATTTATTTAAAAAAATGACAAAATGGTTACTGAGTAAACGTGGTTGTATTTTATTGCTGGCATTAACATTCTGCTTGCTGCTTATTTGTCATTTTATAAATGTTTCTGTCAAAGGAATATGACATTGGAATGTCATGGAAGTGATGAAGTCATTAGGCACTTTAAAAACACTCTCTCATAACTACAGTATAACCTTTGTTTTCACCCAGTATAAGGATTGTGACAGGTGAATTACAGACAAGCGAGTCAATCAATGTCACATGGATGGATTGATGATAAAAAACATGTTTTAATGTCAGTAAAACCCAGAGGAGTGTTTTCAAAACCCCAGGTCCATCACCTGTCAGAAGAGACGGATGGAAATTGACAGTGTGTCCTGATTTTAAGTTTGTGTTTGTCATGTTGTGACGTGAATAGAAGGCAGAAAATCAATCTGAAAAATTAGTGTCAGCTTCAGGTTTCAGGTTGTGCCTACGTTAACTCGTGTCTGCTCTTTTTGACTCCTAAACACGACCTTGTCTCCTCTGTCCTCTTCTCTCCACACAGAGGATGAACAAGTGTCAGCAGTGTGAGGGGACGATAGCGGACCCTCTCGGCCGTCCATCCTCCCTCCTCCTCCTCCCCCCCCCCCCCCCCCCCCCCCCCCCGTGGCTCGGGGTGGCCAGGATTACAGAGACAGAACTATTGACTCATCCATCAACCAGTTCAGTGCCTGCCTCCTCCACTCGGTTCTCCCTCCTGATTGGTGGATCTGCTCTGCTCTGTTCTGCTCTGCTCACCTCCCTCCCCTGCCTTAAAGCATCATGGGGGGTTGAATGACCCTGCATGCAAAAAATACTGTGAAGAAAAAGGAGAAGAAGAGATGGACGGAGATGGAGAGGAGGTCAAAGACTCGGAAAATGTCTGGCACTTTTTTTTTTTTTTTTTTGAAAAAACCACAGAAACAGAGCTTGGTGTCAGGAGGTTCCACCTGGGCACCTTTACACAGAACCACAGTTTTGTTGCTGTCAGAACCAGGACCAGATTCAGACCTGGACCTGGAGACAGAAATCTCAAAAACTCACCTGTAACTCAACAGCATCATGACGTGTTGATCTTCATCTGCACTTTGTCATTTTCTACTTTCTAAAAAAAACAAAATCAGAACAAAAACAGATGTGTGTGGAGATGGACAGAACAACAACAGTTTACTTGACTCCTCGTTTTTAAACTCCCTCTAGATTTCATATCTTTTGTTTGTTTGTTTATTTTTTTGCATTTCCTTTGACTGATTGCACTCTGGGTGGCATCCAGAAATACAGACACTGAGTCAAATCCGTCATTTCTTTATTACCTGGACTGACGAAGGAAGAACATCTGTGGTTGTGTGTTCTACTCAAATTCCAGTATTATCACATGGACAATGTTATCAAGTGTTGACTCAAATCCAAGCTAGAAGACGGACACACACACACACACACACATCTGCACACATGTATTTTACCAACACACACACACAAGAGACAGTTCCGTAATTAAAAAAAAAAGAAACTATAAATATATTAGCACTTTCAGCACAATCCTCCATGTTACCTGGACACCAGGGTATGACTGACTGAACCACCATAACTCACATCTGCTCTTTTCAACCTCCTGTGGTTTGCTGTTGCATCAGATATGTACTTTTTTAGTGACAAGTTGGTGTCGGTCCCTAGAGTTAGAGCAGGAAACTGAACCATAACAGAAATTATGTGCACCAGTCATAGAAACCTGTTATTTCTCCCAGCAGCTTTAAAACCATAGATCATATGTAAGAAATGGACGTGACCTTCAGTGAAGCTGTAGAAACAACAGTGAAAGTGTTCACTGGTCTGTAGGTAAATGTGGTTCGTCAGGTATTCAAAGTTTTTTTTTAAAAGTGCCTATTTAAAATGATTAAATGTCAGTAATTGAATTATTGTTACAGGTTTGGTGTCAGATATGAATCAACAACAACAGCTTTTCTGACCTAAGTTTAAGGCCTAAAGCAGCCAATCATATCAATTAAAGAATGTCCTAATAAATTAATTAATTAGACTCACAAGTTAAAATCCTACAGCAGTGATCATCTGGGGGCCCGCGGGCCCAATCTGGCTCGCTGAACCATCTAGTCTGGTCTGAGACTGGATTCTAAAATAAACATCAACTAATAATGTTAGACAAGAATTTGATTATTTCATTTTATCTGAGTGTCCAGCCCCCAAGGTGTCTCTCCAGAAGAATTCTGGACCGACAAATGGTTGGTGATTCCTGTCCTACAGGAACCTGGTTGTAAACAGTCTCACTAAGAGTTCTAAAGCTTTAACCAGGCATGGATGAGACAAAGTAACACAAAATGTTTTGGACTGCACTTTTAAATAATGGATGTCTTTGAAAACTGCAGTAGCAAGACTGCTGCTCTGAGGACTGCAGGTTAGTGCTGATCACTCACCTTTCACAAACCTCTTTTCCACTCTGGTTTCCTCACACAGAGTGGAATCAAATTGGACACTCTAAATTAACCTTGGGTGTGACTGTGAACTGTTGACGAACAAAAAAACAAACAAAAACCAACTCTTTTTCCTGTTGACTTCAATTCCAGCTGAAATCACTAAATCCATTTTATATGTACGATCTTTGACTGAACGACAAAGGAAGTGCAGCTGCAGCAACTTCTAGAGATTTCACCTATATTCAAGGCTGGTCTCCAAGACAACACCAGAAGGGACACTGAGATGAGGACAGCTGTGTCCTGTTTGTATTATTCTTGTGAAAAAACAACCTTCAAAACAACCAGGGACTCACAGGCTCCTAGTGTGTGTACTGTCAGAATAGCTGCAAGGTTTACTAATACAATCTTGTACAGAGTTTCAAACAAATACACACGTATTTCAAACAAAGTATCAGCAGAATTCTTATAAGAACTCGATCTCTCAATATCTGAGAAGATCTCAAATTTCTCACGTGTTCAAGCGCCTTACGATGATGCCATGGTTACCAACATGTACACTGATCAGTCATCGATGTGAACCTATTTGTCCAGAGTCTTGAATCCAGCAATAGCGAAGCAGAAATGCCTTATTAAAGATACTTCCTTCAAACCATTAGACTCTGTACAAGATGAAGTCGAGCTCCTGGGTTTTTGCTGTTACACGACTTCACGTACTGCACCGTCGTAGACTGTATATAGGACGTAGATGTAGCTGATGTCAGTTTTGAATTGAAAGAATAAAGACATTCAATAAGCACAAAAGGTCAAACGTATCACAGCCAAATCTGTTGATGTAGACACTTTGACTTGTTAGTATCTTAAATGTATGCTGACGAGAATCCTACGTTTGTTAGCTGCAGTACCTGGCTAAAAACCCAAGGAATTAAGTTTCTTCAGCCTGCAAGTGTAAATGAGCAATTATCCACAAATCCAATCTTAATATTAACCAAATTTACTAGTAATTCCTAGTAATTACTAGTAATGTGCCGTGGCACATTAGTGTGTCGTGAGAGCTAATCAGGTGTACCATAGAACATGATTCAATTCCACTCAATTGGTCTGAAAACAGTTGTTTATTTAGTGCAAGTAATTTGTCTTTTTTGTCTGTGCGACAGTGCGACAGTGAAAGGCAGAACTGTCAAATATGCTACCACTAGATGGCAGCAGATGGCTATAAAACATTTTTTAAAAGACTCAGAGCTGTTGAAGACCTATGTGTGTCTTTCTTCAATTCCTGCAAGTATATTCGCATTGTGTTCAACTAAACAGGCCCAGGTTTCACACTGATTAAGTAAATTTTGAGAAGATTGATGTAGAAGATTATTATATTTCATTACATATATGTTTTGTGACATTTTTGTTGTGCGGTGCACTGTGGAATTTTTCTTGTTGTGGCTCTAAGAAGGGTTGGGGAATACTGTATTAAAAGAATACCTGAGGCTTGGGATTAACACCATCAACTGTTGCATAAAAGGTTCAGTGAAGCTATATCATGCTAAAGTAAAAGGTCTGTTTTGCAGCTTTGGCGATGGCTAGGTCCAATTTTTATATACAATCCATGATCATACTGTATTTTTTTTTTATTTTGTATTATTTCATTTGCACAGTTACTGTTAACTCTTTACCTGAACCTCTGCTGTTGTGCTACCAGACTGGAGGAGTAAACTGCTTTCACCTGTTACAGACATCCACTCTGATCTCCAACTTCTCCACCCATGTCCATCTATTATATCTGACCGTCAGTCGGAGTGACTGAATATTTAAATTTTTTTTTTTTTTTTTTGTGACTCCGGTGGGGAAGCTGACACATGAAGAACGTTGAAGAAAAGTGATGTTTTATTCAAGGCTGCCAATCAGAACGATATGAAAATATCATAAAAAAACCCAATTTTTTCCTTCTTCTTTCACTGATTGGTCCTGATCACATTGATCAGTCATCGATCGGAAACTAGAAAAATAAAATCTATAAAAAATAAATCAGCGAGTGCAGTGTTTTCCACTGTGTTCTGTGACTGTTCTGACGGTTGTTTTTTTGTTTTGTTTTTTGTCCCTCTCTCTTTTTGTTAATGTAATTTTTTGTAATGGCTGCAGATGTAGATTGTTAATAATAATAATGATAATGATAATTTGTATTACAGTGGTGACATACATCATTAACTTTCATTCAACTCCTGAAGATAATGTGCATATGTAGAAGAGGCTCCGCGCCCCTGTCTTTTTGGAAAAACATTAAAAGTTGCACAAAAATGTACAAGAGTAAAAAGATAAGTGTAGTGGGTAGAACTGCTACTGTGTGTGGTGTCAGTGAGACGTGTACATTTAGCTGGTAATGACTTTCTCTTCATTCTTCATTCTCCTCTCCTACTACTTTGACCTGTATGTCTTTTAAAAAGACAAGTGGTGGAGTATGTATCGGTCGTCCCCCTCCCCCCTTTTTTTGTATTTTTAATACAATAATTGTAAATATTGGTTATATTTTTGTTCAAATGTACTATGTTTATGCCTCAACATCCAGTTTATACCAAGCTGGGAATCAATAAATACTGCATAAAGAATCCACATCTAGGTTGAAATGCACTTATTCATCTCTTCTTGCATTGTGACGTCCTTTGACTCGTTTTCTTTTTTTCCCCTCATAGTTTTTTCCTCATTTTTTCTTTCCCAGATACCGTCTAGTGTTTGCACAATTCATGGAAGTAACTTGAAAAAGTGTAACCCTCGTACTTTTTTTTTCTATCTGACTGCAGCGTGTCAGATTTAATAATAAAAAAAACGTATCCAATCCTCGCCTCTCTTTCATGTTTTTGTTTTTGTATTGTCTAGTTATCCAGATCAACTCAAAATCCCTCCTCGAATTTAGCAATATTTGTTTCAGACCCAAGCGGCGTCTTTTTATTACAAAATTCGATATTTTCATTTCTCCATTATTAAAAAAAATGAATTGGATTGAGAGTTATTGCATCTGGACCCAGCTTGGAGAAAGCACACTGGGAAATGTATTTGTCCCGTAGTGAACTAGTTTGTGTCTCATGTTTTATTTAATGTTTTTAATAACTTTCAAGAATTTACTACAATGAATAAAACACAGTGTTTAGATTAA